TTCTTTCTTTCTTTCTTTCTTTCTTTCTTTCTTTCTTTCTTTCTTTCGCGCTGGTGTTTTGCCTGCATGTATGTCTGTGTGAGAGTGTTGGATCCTGGAGTTAGTAGTTACTGACAGTTGTGAGCTGCCATGTGGGTTCTGGGAATTGAACCTGGGTCCTCTGGAAGAGCAGTCAGTGCTCTTACCTGCTGAGCCATCTCTCCAGCCCCCAGGATTTCTTATTTATATCATTCCCAAACATTATCCCATCATGGGCTGAGAATGTACAAGCACGGTTGGACCAGTGCTTGTCCATCATTCAGGAAGCCCTAGATGGTGGCACAGGCCTGTGATCTCAGAACATGGGAGGAGGAGGCAGAAGGATAGGAGTTCAGTGTCACCGTTGGCTACATGGAGAGTTTGAGGCCAACATGGGATATAAGAGACATTGTCTCCAACTAAAATACAAACACATACCCTATTCCCACCAAGTGCCCTCTTAGCCCAATGGGAAAGCTCAAAATAGGAGTCCAGCAAAGGTTCTGGGGGAAGGGGAGAAAATTCACACCGCCCAACTATGACATAGATTGGCTGTGCTTCGGCCCCCCAGAAGAGGAAGACGGTCCATTAGGAAGACAATCTGGAGGATTCAGAGGAAACCCAGGCTTGCATTTGGCCCAGTGCTGTCTCCTGCAGACGAGGCTGTAGAGGGTTAGAAACCATTTGAGGCTTCCCAGAGGCAGAGGCACCCTCTGTCCTTCGTCTGAATTGTGTTTGTGTTTATTCTGTGTGCACGGGTATTCTATGTGGCTGCATGGCTGCCTTGGCACAGGGGTGGAAGTCAGAGGACAACGTGCAAGGAGCTGTCAACTTCCATCATGTGGGTCCCTGGGATTCCACTCAAGTGCTCAGACTTGGGAAAAGCACCTTTCCCTGCTAAGCCATCAGCCCCAATGACCCATTCTTTGGCATCTCTGTCTTCTCGAGGAACTGTAAACTTACTGATTTTGCAGGGTCATGACAACTTTCCTCCTTGCTCTCCTTTCGTTCTTTGATGCTGGCTCTCTTACGTAGCCTGGAACTGTAGACCAGAAAGCTGGCTTACGACTGGGTAGAGATCGTCTTGCTTCTGCCTCCTAAGGGCCAGGTTTACAGGCACGGGCAAGTAAAAACCCTCGATTGCTTAGTCACTGAACATCCCAGGGTCTAGGTTTTTGTTGATTTATGGGTCTCCTGGGCCTTGCCTTCCCGCCTTCAGGGCGTCTCTGTCTCCACATCCCTACCACAGTTAACCTCAGCGAGGCACAGGTCTGACAGAAGTACACCACCAGCTCAGGCTAGAGCCCAGATGGCAGATCCGTGGTCTAGGTCTCTGCCCACCACACCAGGGCGGCATGAGGCTCACCAACTCTAAGTCACTCTTGCCAAAAGGGCGGGAGAAGTTGGGTACAGACTGGAGGATGAGTTATTTAAACTCTGGAAGGACCAGGACAGGTAGGTGCATGGTGTATCTGTTACTGTGTTTATCTCGTCCGGAAGGCCCCTGTAGACCTCCTCCTCACGTCCCAAGCTTTGTTCCAGCTGGGCTAAACCAAAGCCTATTCGAAACAGAGGACAACTCCGGGCTGACCCCCCCCTCCCCCGGGCTCGGTCAACAGGTTCAATTTACCAAGCGAAAAGTTCTCTCCCAGGTTAAAGGGATGCTCTGACAATCTCCCAGGAGTTGGTGGCTGTAGGCAAGCGGCTGGAGGCCTGCGCCTTTAAGGAGCCAGGGGGCAGAGGGGCGGGGCAGGAAGAGAAATCCCAGGAGACGCCGCCACCATCCAGGTCTTTTTTTAGGGGGGAATGGGGCGGGCCGGAGCCCCGATGGGGTGCCGCCCCATCTTCTCCCGCCGCGTCCCCCGTTCCGCCCCAGGGGTACGTGGATGGGCCCGCGGGGCTCCCCGCTCGCACCTCACCCACCGAGGCGCAAGTTTGCTGATCCGGAGGGAGTAGCCGGGGCGGGGGCGGCGCGCGCAACAGCCGCTCGGTCCGCAGCCGCGCTTTACAGTTTACACAGCTGTCACCGTCGTTACTCCTTAATTAATAACAAAAATAGCCGCCGTCCCGGAGCGCACGCTGCCTGCCTGGCCCCGCGCTCCCCGGGAGCCCGCCCCGGTAACGTTCCCCCAGCGGTGCGGGAAGCGCGGGCGCACGGAGGCGCCGGGAGCGGCCCGAGGTCGCCGTGCGGGCGAGCGGCGGGCAGCGGCGCGGGCGGACGAGGCGGGGCGCGGG